CCTCTCTTCTCTCGCTCTCTCTCTCTCTCAGTGCCTGTATTTATAGTAGCAGATGGGGGATTAATTACTCAGGGGCAAAGACTGCGGAGAAAAAACCAGCCGTGTCAGTGTAAACAAACTTGAACAACTTACAGCGAAGCTGCATTAGCGGCAATCCATATTTGATATTGGCTCTCTTTGTGTGCCTGCTGAGTGTTTCATCTGCCACTCCCCCTGTCTGTTTGTCCCTCTCTCGCTCGGCCCCCTCTCTCTCTCGCTCTCTCTCTCTCTTTCTTCCTCGCGCCTCTAGTTCTATCTAAAGCTATGGTTATAAACCTACCACTTAGCATTGATCACTTCTAGTGCACTGCCCCTTTCCTGGTTAATTCACTAACCATGTTTACACGCAGATTCTCTCTGCCTCTCTCTCTCCTTCGCTTTCTCCCTTCCCTCTCCTCCTCTCCTCTCTTTCTCCTCCCTCTCCCCTCTCCGACTCATGCTTAGCGCACTGTCCCCTGCATCCCTAACACTGCTACGAAGTGAACTATTACAGAGTGACTCTCTGCTGGAGGTTCCTATAGAGATCGCTGCGTAGCTAGGGACGTGATTGCGCGCGTGCGCGCGTGTGTGTGTGTGTGTGTGTGTGTGTGCGTGCGTGCGTGCGTGCGTGCGTGCGTGCGTGCGTGCGTGTGGTGAGGAGGAGGAGGAGGAGGAGGAGGAAGAGGAGGAGTGGGGAGAGTGGAGGCGGAGGAGGAGTAGGGAAGGGAAAAGGAGGGAGGAGTAGGAGGAGGAGTAGGGAGGGGAAGGAGGAGGAGGAGGAGAGGGGGGGGGAGAGCACGAAAGGAAGCTTAGGTACGGCAAGCAACCTGCTGCAGTAGAGGATAGAGGTAAGACGGCAGCCGTGGCGAGAGAGCTGCTGACGGGTTGCGCGTCGCTCGGAAAATAAGATTGATAATATTCATGAGACTGGTGTTTGACAAAGATTTGGCATGTGCGTGCGTGTGTGCGTGTGATACTACGAGAGAGAGAGAGGAAGAGAGCGGCTGCGAGGTGAGAGAGAGATAGAGAGAGAGACGAGGAGAACGAGAAGAGAGAGAGATGACGGAGTGAGAGAGGGAGAGGAGAGAGAGCGCGCGCGCGAGCAGAGAGAGAGAGAGGGTGAGAGAGACTGAGAAAGAGAGAGAGAGAGACGAGAGAGACCGAGAGAGACGAGAGAGAGTGAGAGAGGAGCGCGCGCGCGCGCGAGAGCAGAGAGAGAGAGAGAGAGAGAGAGCAGGAGAGAGATGGAGAGAGAGAGAGCGAGAGAGAGAATTAAGCATTGTTAGTTATTTAAGTAGGGTTAGTGATTAAACATCGATAATGAACGGAGAAATCATTGTGAATTTTTAAAAGCCATGGTTATAGTGCTTGCAAAGGCAGTGCAATATACATTAAATGTGCAGTGAGTTAAAACGATGAAATATCGCAACGAAATTATTGAGTATATACGTACTCGAAGCAATAAATCACAGAAGTGAAAAATTCGGAAACGCTATCAGAGTGCCACGAGTGTGCAGCAAACAATGAATTTTTAAAAAGCAATTTTCTCGAAAGGGTATTGTGATTTATGGCGCTGCGTATTTTCAAACGTGGTGCACGCCCTTCCCTCAGCGCTGAAAAATCTGAAAGCACAAACACTACGCTATATAGCACAAATTAATTATGGATTTATTTCTTCGATAGATATCTCGATCTATTTCATAGAACCTGTAGCTATATATCAACGTATCCGCTTTCAACGCTGTATAACGCAGGTTTGCTCGTATGCCAATTCCATTATATTAATATACTAATTAAATATACGTTTGTTTTTGGGTTTCAGTCGTGCTAATGGACACCACGGACAGCTCGAGTCTGGGATGGACGAGGTTTAATCCCCACGCCACCTCAGAGGACACGACACAGGGGGTGAGTAGACTGTACATCAATACATCTTCTTCCCATAACAAACCACCGATCCACCCCCTCGCGTGCATGGATGGCGTGCTCCGCGTTGGATTAATAATTCAGTGGTTGCTGTAAATTGTTTGAAGTAATTAACCCCGTCGCGTTATTTAAAGCTGTATTTTAAATCGCTGGCGTGCAACTGCTGCTGCCCCCCCCCTAATGTGCGCATGCGCAGACGCTCGTCCCTCTACGTAGTTGCAAAACAGCTGATGAATCCGACAGAGGAGAAGTTCCGGCCGCGCCCACGCCAAATTATACTAGCAAAAATCTCTTGCGAACAGTCGCCGCGCTCGTTACAATAAATAGAGCGTGGTGCTCTGCTAATTTGTTTTCTTACGCCACGCATGCGGCTTGCATATCGCCCCCACGTTTTATGATCACTACAGGGGGGTCGCGGTTCCCCCCCCCCTGCGGCTGCTGCTAGTGCTGCTGCTGCTGCTGCAGCTGGTGGTGGTGCTGCTGCTACTGCTGCTACTGCTACTGCTGCTGGTGGTGGTGCTGCTGTTACTGCTGCTACTGCTGCCGCTGCTGCTGCTGCTGCTGCTGTTACTGCTGCTGCCGCTGCTGCTACTGCTACTGCTGCTGTCTGCTGCCGCTGCTGCTGCTGCTGCTGCTGTTACTGCTGCTGCCGCTGCTGCTACTGCTACTGCTGCTGGTGGTGGTGCTGCTGTTACTGCTGCTGCTGCTGCTGCTACTGCTACTGCTGCTGCTACTGCTGCTGCTGCTGCTGCTGCTACTGCTACTGCTGCTGCTGCTGCTACTGCTGCTGCTACTGCTGCTACTGCTGCTGCTGCTACTACTGCTGTGGGGTTTTGTTTTAGTTGGCGGGCTCATGATTCCCTGCTTTGTGTCGTCTGCTGTCAGAAAAACGGGCGTGTTTTGCTTTCGACTAGCGGCAGTCATTAGCTGGTGTTCGCTGGCATGGTAACGCAAGCCGCCGTGGTCGCGAGGGGATATCGGTGACTGCGAGACTTACCGAGTGAATTGATACACTGCGTTCGGCTGCCAGCGTTCGCTTATGCCCCTCTAAACGAAAACGCGCAGTTAACTGCGCAGTGCAAATAAACAACGGCTGCTAACTAGCCGATCGGTGTGTTTTACACGCCGTGGCGTCTTCATCCTCAGCATCCTCTCGCTCTCAGCTTCCCGCCGGCACTCTAACGCCGCCAGCATCCTCCGCTCTCAGCATCCTCATCCTCTCAGCATCCCTCCGGCACTCTCGCGTCAGCATCCTTGAGATGCGAGGGATTCGTTCTCTGCTCGTAATAATAAACAGACGCCAGGCTTTCGTTATGCGTCCCCCGGCCCCCCGCACGCAGGCAGCGCGAGAAAGAGAGACCTGCATAACTGATACTTTGATCAAATCTCTCTCGCTCTCCACCCCCACCACTCCCCCTCTCTACATCTCTTTCGCGCGCTCTCTCTCTCTATATATATATATATATATATTTCTTTCTCTCTCTCTCTCTCTCTCTCTCTCTCTCTCTCTCTCT